GGATTTACAGACGAGTTAAAAGCGTGTCGAGCTGCACTTTTCAAAGACACTTGCGAAGCCGTTGATAGCAGAGGTGAGTCCTTTCCAATAAATTCTTATCAAGAGATAATCGAACTGTGAATTTGATGAGGATATCTCTCGATTGAAATAGTGTACCGTTTATTTCGTTTTGCCAGTCTGCACATGTAAATGTGAAAAATTCCTTTTTAAAATTTGTTTTGTGACGAGATTAGTTCGAAGCGAAAACTACTACTTCTTCGAGCTAACATAGGAAACTTCTAGCCAATTCAACCTGTTTCTAGCTCTCTAGAGTGTGAGAAGTACAATCATTGTTCAATGGTTGATTAGGCAGACTCCTTACTGTTCAGGAAGTGACGGCTACAATCATTACGCCTTCCCGGAGGCGACGGCCATTGATGTGGTTCAACCTTGCCCCCATTCGCTTATTGCAAAAATCAAATGTATGTTTATTGTGTTCACTCTAAGTTTAACTTCAGAACAGCTCTAACAGCTTTGTGTTTTTCAGCTGCGAACTTAACGTATCAAATATTTTTCCGAACACTAGAAGACGAAAAAGCGGGTATTGATCACGGAGCAGCAAAAGCTGTGGTGGACTTTGCGCCAGATTTAACTCCAACGTCATTGGTTTCGAAAGTTGTACGGGATTTCAAGCGGTCTGGGCATATAAAGGTGAAGTGTTTAATTTCATTGTAGTTTAGTTTATCCTCAAAACCTCTGTATACCGGGGATTTTTGTCTAATTACTTTTCATCAATATTTTTCAGAACGAGGAAAATGATACTGATTATTTGTTGCAACTGGTGGGACAAAAGAGCTTTTTGACAAAATGCGATCAGCTGTTGATTACATATAGCGTAAGCATATCCTAATTTTAACACGATCAGGTGATTTCTTCTTTTTTCAGGATGTACGGTCTGCATTTGAAAACTATCGTAACCCTCGATTCGTTCTTCGACGAAAGGAGATTGTTCTGCTCGATTATCCCAAACCAAGACCTATACATAAGGTTTTCTAACTACGTTGTTATCGCTCAAGTTAAAGTCCGTTGATC